AACTGCATTGTGCCCACTCCAAGTTTCATTTATTTATTTTTTTTAACTTAAATACGTCTCTCCGTTGAATGGAGCCGTAAACGGCGCAAACTGTAGAACTTCAGCACTGAACCACAATCTATCCGCGACTTGAGCAGGAAACGAGAGGAGGAAGTTCACGCTTTCTTAAGACCCGCCCCCTTCTTCTTCTGATTGGCTAATCATGTTAGTTTCAGAGCAGTCCTTTGTTACCATTGGCTGACAAACACAAGAGGGTTTTTGATTGTCTTTTTCTGAGTGATTTTTGTTTTTTTAATCCACGAACAATCGCTACGAGCTGGAATACTTTAATCCCTGACCTTGGTGAAGTTGCCCCCCCCACCTTCTTTAAATCAGACAAAATTACTGTCAGATGTTTGTGCTCCGCTTGTGTCGCAAAAATTGTCGTTTGTGCCGCTATCATTTTTTTATACAGTAAAAAAATATAATCATAGGTCAGCAACTTATAATTGATATGAAATTCAGAGTTTCTTAATAAACAAATGTTCACTGACCTTTGATGGCTTCTACAAATAATTATTAATATCATTAAAATGATAGCAGCAGAAAAAATGTATATATTTTAAAATATGCATTTTTAAATTTTTTATTTATTTATTTTAAATATTTTAAAATTAATTCTAAAATTATATATTTTTGTTTGGCCAAAAATTTTAATTTGTTCTGCTATCATTTCAATGATATTAATAATATTTTGTAGAGGTCATCAAAGGTCAGTTAACAGATGTTTCTGCTGCACAAACGGAGCCCAGTTAATTGACACCCAGGTGGGGGGGCTGGTTGACCTTTGATGACCTCTAGAAACATCTCTTTACATCTTTAAAATGATAGCGGCAAAAACAAAATTTTTTCTGCACAAACGTTTGACACTAATTTTGTCTGATTTGAAGAAGGTGGGGGGGCCACGCTTCTAGACTGTAAAAATGAGTGTGTGTTCGCTGGACGCACCTGAATTTGATTGGGCAGGAGGAGGAAGATCTTCTCTGCGGACGAGCAGAGGACGGCCCAGCAGTGGTTGGGCGGGTTGGGGAGGGCCATGGCCTGAGCGACGCCCGTCAGCAGAGAGCGACACAGAGACAGCCTCTGGGTTCGCACGTCGTCCTGGAACTGCTGCAGGCCCAGGCTCTGCACGAACACCTGCAGCTTGTCCTCCGCCACGTGCTTCATCCACACGCCCAGGGACTCGTAGAGGTGAGCTCGAGTACGAAGCTGGAGGGAACAACGCCAAAGGTTGTGTCAGAGAGGAGAGCTTCGTATTCCAAAGGAAAATCATCCTGGAAAAAAATTAACATTTCAGAGCAGCAGAGCTCGGGGCTGTCAGGGTGTTCTACTGTTAACTTGTTTAGCCACAAAGAAGGAGGAGCCTGGTGACGAGTCCCAATCATCCAGGTCATTGTCATTCCAAAAAAAAAATTTAAATGAAAAACAATCCACTGGACTTTGACGTTTCGCTTCCCGTCCAGGAAGCTTTTCCAATTCAAAATGTCAGAAAATAGAGTTGAGTTTAAGTTTTTATACAGCGGCTAAGGTTGTATACTATGGAGGATAAAAAGTGCCAAAATTAAATAAATAAATACAGCATTAAATAAAT